GATGGTGCTATAGGCTGAATGTTTGTGTCACCCCAAAATTTATGTGTTGAAATCCTGATCCTCTAGGTGATGGTATTAGGAAGAGGAGGCCTTTAGAGGTGTTTAGATCATGAATGAGATTAGTGCTTTTGCCAGTGAGAGAGACTCTCTCATCCCTTCCAACATTGTAAGGTTACAGCAAAACCAAACCAAATCACACCAAAACAAACAGCTGTCTGGGAAGCGGGCTCTCACAGCAGAATCTGCTGATGTCTTGATTTTGGACTTGCCAGCCTCCAGAACTGTGAGAAACAAATTTTTGTTATTTAAGCCACCCAGTTTATGGTGTTTTGTTATAACAGCCCAAATTGACTAACACAAATGGGTTTACTGAGATGTGGGCAGAGATGAAGAAACCAAAAAGGATGTGGAGACAGCCAGGAACTAACAAGGCAGGAAGCTGTTATCAGCTTTAGACCTAAAGGGGCAAGAGGAGGAAATGATGTTTCTGGAACCCAGTGGGAGCTGGTGCCATGGAGGAAGGACTGCCGCATGGGAACTGTGGTTGTAGAGGGCCCAGCCACAGCAGAGGCAAAGTGCAGAAGGAGAAGGGGGTGGAAAGAGGAGCCTGATGTGCCTTCTTTCCACCTTCCAACCACCTATAGCCTGTAGCCAACGGCAGCCACCCAGCAAAAACACCTGGGTGATGCAGTCTGCAGGAGTCAGGACAGAGACCGGCAGATGAGGATGGAGGGCAGAGAATGAATGGCAAGGGGAGAAATGAAAGTAGCGTATTCACTCAACAAATACTTTTTAAACTGATTGTTATGTTCCAGACATTGGGCTAAGTGTACTTGACACGCTAAGCTTTGTTTGGGGTTTGTAAGTAGATCTATTGGGCACAGATCCAGAGGCAATTTCTTTTTTCTTGAATATTATTTCTATTTACAGCATTTCAATAGGGATAGCTCAGTGAGGTTTGCCACCTTTTGCTTCTGCTTGCTGTTCTATGTAATAGCACACTTCGAAAGGCCATAAGTATAGATCAGGCACAACTTCTCATAATTAAGCAGGAGTTAAACACACAGTTGAATTTTGGAATTTTCCATAAGGGAGTTTTCTAGGCTCTTTGTTGGCTTTAAGGAAAAAGCACAAATAAGGACACAGAGCACAGAAGACAGGAGGCAGGAACAAAAGCAAGTAACTTAATGAGCTATTCAAAGGGGAATTCACAAACTCTGCTTCTTGAAGCCTTAATGAGAAAGATGGCATTTGGGTGAGGAGTTCATATTACTGGGAATGTGTTGTTTGGAGAAAGGCAATGGATTTGCAAGCAGCAGCTTTCTGATAACAATTCTAAATCAAAAGTGAAAGAACATGCGTCTCCTTTCATAGCTACACAATCCAGGCTGTGAAATATTGAATGGACTTAAATTTCTCTCTTCTAACCTCTGGCAATTTTAGAAGCCATTCTTTGCATTTTAAGGACTACACTCTCCCTTCCTTCCATAGAAGCCAAGCAGAAGAATTTGGCTGGTTCAAGTGTATTTTATATCACACAATAGATTAGTTCCTTTACTACTTTATTAAATTGATATTTCTTAATGATTATGTAAAGCTTGGGAATAGAATGTCCATCTTCTGATTTAGGTTCTGCCACTGTGTAAACTTGGGCCGATCACTTAATTTCTCAGAACGTCAACGTCATCATCTGTGAAATGGGGGTAATGAGTGGGGATCAACCAGAAAAGAGAGCACTTACCCAGGCTTTGGGAAGTCATTAATTGCATGAATTGTACAGCAAATTGGATCTGTACATATCTGTGTGTTCCCACTTGAGAAGAGAGAATCAGTATGTTACACTAGATTTTCCAAAAACTTTATGGTCCCTAAAAACATTTATGCAAATCCAAACCAAAAAGTAGTAAAAAATCATACTTACTAAAAATTCTACAATTTCATTCTAACCAGTAGTTTAGCTTAAATTTCAGATCTGCTTTTGGTCCTTGCCTTGGGCTTCAGTTTGTAGTGGTTTTGCCAATTCTAGGTTTAAATTTCCACTTTCTTCCCAGTTTTAATGATCTATAAACACATAAATCAGATTCTTAACAAGGACACAAGCCCTCAAATACATTAGAGACATTCACATTTAAAGATTATTTTTACAATGTGAACATGTATGCCCTATTTTATCTCTTTTAAACATCACTATTTTAAGATCTGGTTTCTCATAACATGCAAGGAAACTCAGCTTGAGATATTTAATAGAATTTCAGAGTAAAAGAAAAAAGATCTTGTAGACGCACTGACCAAAACAGCTTTTGGAGATGATGGAAATGTTCTATAAATTTGTACTTTCTAATATGGTGACCATTAGTCATAACTGATTGACACTTGAAAGGTGGTTAATGCAACTGAAGAGTCAAAATTTTAATTTAATTTTAGTCACACATAGCAAGTGATTACCACATTGGACTACACAGTCTTAGAGAATGTCCCATATAACGCACATCAGGAACTAAAAATCTCGTAACACCTTCTAAACCAGAGATTCGCAACAGCAACACTATTGAGTGGAGTTAGATAACTCTTTGTGGGGCATGGGCAGGGGGCTGTCCTGTGCATTGTAGGATGTGTAGCAGCATCCCTGACCTCTACCCACTGGATAGCAATAGTACGCAAAGCCCAGTTGTGACAATGGCATCAGACATTGCCAAATATCATCTGGAAGGTATAGTTGCCCCAGATTGAGAACCGCTGCTTTTGAGTCAGATATCCTTGAGCTTTGCCTTGAAAATATCCAAGGACCAGGCACCTCACCATGTAGACCAATTCCATCTTGGGTTCTTGAAATTATTAGGAGGTTATTCCATAGTATATGGCTGCCCATAATTTCTCTTCTCTCGTCTTTGCACTTGTTGGCATCTCTGCTATTCTATTTGTTGAAGAGGAAGGTGACAATGAATAAGCCAGTTGAAATGTGTCTTAACAGGATGCACAACACAGTGGTTAAGAGTGTGAGCTCTACAACTAAAGAAACTGGGTTCAATCTCTGAGTCTGTCAAGAACTGGCTGAATGATAATTGGCGAGTTAATTTAGCTCTTTGTTTCTTGGTTTTCCCACTTGTAAAATAGGAATAATAATAGTAACCAGAGTTGTTTTAGGATGAAACACAATAATGTCTTTAATATGCTTGGTTATTGTTATTACAAGTAATAACAACAACAACATTTTACTTCCCTGTTGTGCTAGTTGTTACGTATTTTATCACATGGGATCCTCCCGATGATTTTGCTATTCCCATGGGACAAATGAAAAATGTTGATGCTCGTATAGTTTAAGTGATGTGCCCAAGGGCATGCTTGGGTGAGTAAGGAAGCTGGGATTTAAATCCATTTCACCCACTCAGATGTGTAATATAGAAAAGTTAAACAGACAGACAAATAAATAAAAACAAATGAACAAACAAAAACAAACACATAGATACAGAGAATGGACGAGTGGTTACCAAAGGGGAAGGAGTGAAAGAGGAAGGTGAAATGGGTAAAGGGAGTCAACTGTATGGTGATGGATGGAAAATAAATGTGATCTCACGTTTTTTGTCTGTGAGGGATCAGTCTGTGAGCTCCAGGTACAGAGAGTTTTACATAGGTTATCAGGGATTTATGTAACCCTTAGAAGAACCAGGGCACAAAGGCCAGAGAAGCCACCAGCCAAGGTTCTCAGCCTGAAACACTAAAGCTGGAGGTTCTCAGGAGCCAGTGGAAAGCTGCTGTGCAGCTCTGTCCACCCAGGTGTCTAGATATAACCCTCTCTGCAGAAGAAGGGTCCCTGCTTCTTTTCTTTCTTCCAAGTGTCTCACAGATGCTCAAACCGGGAGCCTGCAGGGAATGGCATTCTGGGAAATGTAGTTCCTGCTTTGCTTCTGTGATGCTGAGGAGAACTAAATGGGGATGATGGAGATGCTGACAACCAAAATTCCAGCACACAGCCAAGGGATTCATGCAGTAACCAGCAGATTAGAGGAGGTAGGATGATCTGTGGGAAAGGTCCCGTGTCCAGACGTCTCCTTCAGCACCTATGCTTATCAGCGGACAACTGACTTCACACTGCAGGCTCTTTGCCTATCAGGTTATATACAAAATTACACACGCAAAGGAGTCTCATCGAGTCTGGAACACAGTGAAGGCTCAGTATTGGTTCTTGGTCCTGCCAGCTATCAACGGACAAGTGCATTCTGGGGGCCATTTGCCCTTCGTGCACTTAAATAGTACAAGGCAAATGCTCTTCGGGCAGAGATGGCTGGTAGCCCTAAAATCCACTCTTCCTTCTTCCCTAGTGATAGAGGCCCTGTGATGGGCCAGATGAAGTTCCATTTCTGGCCTTGTTTGAAGTCAAATCTGGCCATAGTCTTACCTGTGACTGTAAGGGGGAGTGATGCATACAGATTCCAGGTCTGGCCTTTGAAAAGAACTGGATCTGCACCCCCACTTCTCCCTCTATCTGCTGCTTGGGATGCAGCCTTTCTGATGAGAGCCAGGACAGGGTTTTAGACCATAGATTGAAGACAGCCGTGGATTAAAGACAGCAGAGCACCAAGCCAGAAGGAACTGGGCTCCTTGCCCCTCTGGGACTGCCGTGTCCAACAAGACAGCTTGGGCCCAGACTACTAGGTGAGTGAGAAATAAATTTCTGTCTTGTTGCTGCCACTGAAGTTTCTTTGTTGTAGCCTGTCTTCAAACCATATACCATTGGATCCAAACGCTCCTGCATAATTCCTTAATTACGATATTCAGGCAGCTTTCTGTGGGGTGGGGGTGGGAATGCTCACTTGAGACAGATTTCAAACTAGAATGGCCAATGTCTCACTTAGACAGCTAATTGTATTTTGAAAGACAGATCCTGAAAATGGTGGGTGGGCAAAAGGAACTGAAAAAATGGGGAGAGGTAGATGCATCAGGAACCAACTAGGAGGAGGGAGCTTAGAGGCCCTGAAGGGGAAGCAAGCGGCCCTTTAAAGCAGCAAGGTGTTCCACACCCAAGATAGCAGGAGAACTGATAAGAAATGCTTTAAAAGCACAAGTCAGTGACATGTGTCGGCTTTCATGAATACTGCTGGTATTAAACGAATTTGACGGATAGAGCAATGCTTCCCTCGGCCGACGCTTGGGTGATCATCAGTGCTTAGCCGCACGCGTGCTTCCACCAATAATCACAATTTAAAGATTGCAAGTAATAAAAGCATCAAACTGAAATATCTGCTGCCTTTACAGACACGAAGAACTAGAAGGTACCGCCACAGTCGTTGGGATCTTGGCTGGCACGTTTACTGTGGCATTAACTACATCGTAACCTCAGCCGTTGTATAGATGTCCTTTCTCTAGACTGTGAGCCCTCTGTGAATCATTTGCCTTTGTACCTTCTGCTCCTGGAATGGTCAATAAATATTTAAATGGATGAATCTGTTCAACCTTCTCACTTTTGTGGTGACTTGTTCAATGTCAAAAGTAATAATAGAAAGAAAATCTGCTTTCTTTTTTCCTTCTAAGTGGGAAGTTCTATTTCTATTTTCCTCAGGGCCTGGATGGTTAAAACAAACCTCTTATTAGGGAGTCCTGTGGACTCCAGATCCACATATACGCACAAACACAAAAAACACATACACACAAACACACAGGTATACAAACCCCAACACAGAGGGCCACACAAAATACACACAAACACATGGGTTTCACGTTTGAATTTCAGGTAAACAATGAGTACTTATTTTAGCATAAGCGCTAAATATTGCATACACAAATACACATGGGACATCATACTTAACACTAAAGAGTTATTTGCTGTTTATCTGAAATTCAAACTTAGCGGTGGGACCTGTATTTTTATTTGCTTAATCTGGAAACTTTAACACAAACACCCACATAGATACACCTGCGGGAACACATACAGACACACATAAGCAGATACAAGCATGTACACACCCAAGATTTAGTTGCTCTTAACAAATCCTGCCACTACTAAACTCGTCGTACAAACTTACCAGTTCTAGCTTTCCCTTTGAGGGGCTGGGGAGGTGTCAAGGAGGCCTGGGAAGGAGACAGAAGGCTGACTCTTTACTCCTAGCGGTCTGCGTGCGGGAGGAAAAGGGAATCCTAGTGTTCGGTGATAGG